TGAAAGCTTAACGAGAGATTGTTCAGAAAGCAGAGGAAGTTGGACATACATGGGACGAGAAAGACAGAAACCTAAAAAATAAATTCTCACTGCAAACACGTCCAGCTGTTTCTATAGTCATGTACCAATTCTCAGGAAATCCATTGAATAATAGAACAATGAGGCTACATAGATGGAGTTTCAAACCTCTAAACTATCCTAACCCTAAACAAATAAATGTAGACAGTTATAACTATGACTAGATTTGAAACCATTTTCAAACAGAGCAGTTGATGCTACAGCAGTTACAAACCTCCTGTTGAGCTGCACTTTCTCACTGGTCTACAGCTCTGAGTAAAATGGCTTCCCCAGAATGGTCTTACTCTTCTGGAAATCCAGTTTGCCTCTAAGTAGGGAGTCACAGATCCGCTCCCACGCATCCAAATGGATCTTCCAAAAATCCACGTGCCCTTGGATGGCTTTGGAAACATCACTCTTGCTCCCATTGGCCAGGCTGATGCTATTGTTTACAATGGAAAAGAGGTCCAGCCCAATCAATGCCGAATTAACAGCAATAAAAGCTGCCCTGAAAGGCATGGAGAAGGCAGTGGGGGCTGCTTTGGCAACACCCCCAATTTCAGCAAGATCGGATGCTGCATCAGTGAATTTTATCACATTGCCACAATCCAAAGCAACATCAATGCCTCTGCAAACACTGCCGACAGACCCACCGACTTTTGCAACCTTTGTCATGTGATCTATCACGTCATTCTCCACTGATGGATCTCTAATGATAATCACTTGGGCTAGATATTTATATATGGGCTCCAAATCCACCATAACCTTCTGATATAATTCACTAAACTTATTTTTCTCACGAGAATTAATTTTTACTTCAGTGATGCATGTAGTTACACTGTTTACACCACTAACAGCTCCCAGAACCCCCCCAATCACAGTGAGTATGGTGGATGCCCCCAGTGTCACTGGGGCCAAGGCCAGCCCAACTATGGACACCACCCCTGCACCCACCCCCACAGTGCTGCCAGCAACACCGGAG